TGTTGCTAATTGCCTCTTCTAGTGTCTTAGGATACTTCTAAATCTAGTACAGGTAATCCTTATACAGAGTAAACTTTTTGTTAAGCCTGACCAATACAAAAAGGACAATAGGTCAAAGCTTTCTTACAACTAGCCTATTGTAAAGCTCCTTATAGTATTTAGAAGGCTATTGAATTTAAATTCTATTTTTAAATATTTATTCTTTATTTTTATTTATTTTTATTTATTTTATTTTCCTTTAAATAAAAGATCTTCTACTCAATACTCATCACTTTAAAATTTGCTACAGCTTGATAGTTTTTAGTAAATTTTATTACAGTATATGTTTTCTCAAATTAGCTTTTACAGTAGCACTGTTAAAAATCTGACCATCTCTCTATTTAAGTCTTTCTAAATAGACTCTTGTTATTCTATTTCAACATATTTATATAGCTATAAGAACTTATCTAGTATTTGCATCACCTAATTGTCAGTTTGCATTTCTTTGTATAACTTATACAGATGTTTTATGATCTGCTAATTATGCTAATATAACTGGAATTACAGATATTTTAACTCAATTATTAGTAACAGTTGCTATAAGGATGACATTATTTATTATTTAATTTTTTTTTATTAAAAGAGTACTACCTTCTTTTTTTTTAATATATATCTGATTAGGTTCTTTATATTAAATTTTAATTTTTTTACACTTCTTCTTTTCTAAAAAATTAGATAATAAATGATACTATCCTAATACAAATATTATATAGGTAATTATCCAAATTTTTATTATCAATAGAATTTGAACATCCAACCTACTATTTGGAGGGTTGACAACCTAACTACTTTACTAGGTTATCACATCCCTATAGTTAATTTTACTAATTTTGATTATTAATCAATTTTATATATCTTATCTGATATTTTTTATAATAATTTATAATAATATTAAAACCCTTTTAAACAAGCAAACAAATAACTTTTTAATTAATCTAGTCAACAATCTTTTTTTTTTTAATATTAAGATGAGTATATATGACTTAGAATTTTATTGATAATATATATTAACTAGCATCTGTTAATGTAACAAATACAGAGGCAATTATGAAAAGAGTATACAACTAATCACTTATACAACTTTAGTTATTGTTTAATTTAAGTAGTTCACTTGAAGGTACTATACTAGTTGTTATACCTAGAACCTATTTGTAGGTTTTCTATTTAAATACTTTAATCCTATATTTATCACATCTTACTAATAACTTCAGTAAACTATGAAAATATGCTATAGTCACTAAGTTATATTTAACTTTATATTAAATCTATTAAAGCATTCTGTATTCTATATTTACAGCTTATCTGATATTGTTTTGACCTAAACTATTACTTGCAGTCAAGACTAACTATTAAACTATTATACCTTTGTAAGGTTCATCTAAAACTCCAGTACTCATCTTTCCAATATCTTTTTCATCATCTTCTACTAATCACTACTCAGGACCAACAAAACTCTCCAGACTTCCAATTCAAATAGTCTGATATAGTATATTTTAGTATTCTTTTTCTCTAGTAATTCTGGTAGCCTGGTTGGTTATATGCTTTTTTATATATCTTGTTATCTGGTTTATCCACCTATTTCTTTAAAGGTGTTTTATGAACTTTTATCAGTTTGACAACATTATCAAAAATTTTGTACTATCTTTTTATTCAGAATTTCTAAATGAGTTTCTGACTTTTTGGTTCTTTTGTTTTCTGTGCCTATTGGTCTTATTGTGAATTTGTACTGAAATCTTATGCAATACTGGTTATTAACATTTCTATATATAGGTATAACATTATATTTTGCATAGATGTTCCAAGCTCTTATTTGAGATAATGCAACTGAAAGTTACAGATACACTAATCCAATTGACAGAGACAGTTACTATAATATAAATCTATTTTTCAAAATTTGTCATTTATAGAATTTGAACTCTAGACCTGCCACTTGGGGTTAACAACCTGACCACTTTATTAGGTCACCACATTCTCTTAGTTAACAATCTTTTTACTAAATACTATTAAAATTTATATTTATATTTAATATATTTTAATATTAATAAGAATTTGTTTAAAATATTATTCTTAAAAGTAAATGTACAAATTTTCACTTTTCTATAATATTTATTTTTACTAACAATTTTTTAAATTTTATACAACATATTAACATTATACATTCTATTAACAAATGTTTTTACAAGGTTTTTTTATAATCACATACTTTATATAATGTTATGAATTTTATTTAAGGTTTTATTTAACCTATTTTAGCTAGTAAATAATTTGAAATAATTATCTATAACATTTATTAGAAAATAAGAAAATGTAATGTCATATTGGGTTCTTTTTAGCAACACAAATGTAGTTTAGAAATCTTTATTTTGAAAATTTTCTTTTGTAATTAAATCTTTATTTTATATTTTAAATTTTCTACTATGGTATTATATAAATAAACAAAAAAAAATATCAAATTTATTTTTGTATAAAATATAAGTTCTAAATAAAGTTAACAAGTCTACTTAAATGAAAAAAAAAACTGTAAAAAGTCTTATTGATAACATATTTTTATTTTCTATATAAATTTTATTGTACTACTGAAATTATATAATAAATAATCTATGTTCACCCTACCCTTAAAGATGTCCGTTATAAAGCCAGTTAAACTATGATAACCCGGCTTTTTTGGTCCGGTTTAAGCTCAAACTATAATCTCAAAACAGTCTAAGACTATAGTTTCAACTCAAGATTGGCCTCAAGACTATGGTTCCAAGATTAGCTCAAGACCAGTCAATTATTTATTATTAGTACTGGAACTATAATCTCAAGATCGGTCTCAAGGTTGTGGCCAAGATAAAAGACCGGTCTAAATCTATTCTTATGAGTTTGCCCATAGTGTCTTGGACTAAGCCGTAGTTTGACTAAAAAGACCAGATATAGACCGAATCCAATGAGATAGGCCAGGCTGTAGTGTCAATAAAATTTTTTTAACATTTAAGATTCGAGTCGCTGGGTCACTAAAGATTAATTGATGATATGAAGACCGAAAGTATAAATTTGTGTTGCCTTATTGTTATGGCTTGGTTGTAATTCAGCATGACTCCAAGAAAGACCTTTGTGGAGAAAGGATTATCTAAAAAATTGGTGCATACATGCGTACATGTGATGAGGTCGTTTTTGGTTACAACCAAATATTAAGGGGGTTATACGTGTACATATTACCAAACAATTCATGCTATTATTCGAGACATGTCAAAGACGACCAATTAAAAAAAAGAATACCATAAAAATCGCCATTGTTTTTGCAATTGAAAATTTTTTTTCTCGTTTAGATATTGTACGATACCTTATATAATCTAATATATAGTTAATATGGTGTTTGATAGAGTCGCGAATATATGTATATACAACTTTTTTTTTAATAACAATGAATATAACAAAAAAGATTCTATTGTCGAAAGCCCTGTTTAATATTGTTCGCTTTATAAGTTTAATGGATTCAATAATAAAGAATCTAAAAAAAAAAACATAACGATTAAGTTACCAGAGAATATATAAAGAGCAATTCTTTGAATATATCGAATTTTTTATACGTAACAAATAAACTTGGAATTTATAAACATCAATATTATTATATAGTAGTGTCAATTGCCACTCAATTTATGCTATCGTCACAAATAACGATAATTAATATAATTCAATAAACTTATAACACATTAAATAAAACGATATATTAAAATGACATATATTTGACCATGGCAAGAACAAAACTTTTACCGATGCTTCGACTATTTTTGACTTTTTGGTTAGGTTGTCAGACGATAAAAGTTGTTACCTTTTTACATTTCTTAAATAAGAGGCATGGTTACGATCCAAAAGGTGAATTAATGCACTTTACTGCAGTATTTCTATTAATAAAAAATAAATAATTATAGAATAAAATAAGAATAAAATAAATATACATATATATATATTTCTTTTTTTCGAAAACCAAGTTGCATTTGTTATAGGAATTCAAACTATTGCTCCACCAATTATTGTAATAAACGTTGTTACATGGATAGTATTCTGGTTTGATAAACAACAATCAAGATTGCAGAACTGGAGAACCCCCGAAAAGGAATTACTTTGGTGGTTATGGACAACAGGTAAATAATCTATTTTTTATTTTTCTAACAGGTGCATAAAAACTTACATCAATATCTTTTGAAATTATATATGTAGGAATTTTTGGTGGCTGGTTTAGTATGTTTGGTGCGTATGAACTTTAAAACATATATATCGATATATTTAGTATACAAATGAGATGAGTCTCGTTATACTAATTAGTAAAAAAAGGTTATAAAAGTTATAGTATAACGAAATTCATTTATGTATCTATTTTGCACATCTATTAATTTTTTCTTATATACCAATAACTTTATAGTGTGTCGACACAAGATCAGAAAACAAAGTTTCATGCTAAAAGCACTTATATCTTCTATTTTCAACCTAACTTGGTTCTTATTTTATTTAATATTGGACATACCCAAAATTTCTATAAAATCGTAATTGCGATGACGCCATCACGATCATCATTGCTACTGCTGTACTGTATGTTTAAAAGTGTATAAATTGTAATAAATAGAATTGTAATAAATTTTTATGTATACCAAATAATATAACTTAGTTACAGTATTGGATAAAATACCATCTAACGTTAATGAACTCGATTTACTCAATTCAAAAACTTTAAATAATTATTTATTGTGAAGAGGTCACTATCATTACTAATATTATTTGTACTGTGTAATTTTAAAAACAGAATTATGACTTGAAATGTTTCGATTTCACAAATTGTTCTTATTATAATTAAAGATGAAAAATGATGTGATTAAAAGAAAAATGCCACGGAATCGAAACATTTATGATCGATCAAACTTCTTTCATACATTAACAAATGATTAATTTACAAATTACGCTTGTTCCAATTCTATTCTTAAATAATGTCATTTATTCTAATTACTTTCATATCCTCTTCCCAGACTACGGTCACGTTTGTACTTCCCGTCGATTGTTCTTCTTCTCAAGGTTGGACGCTCATCCGTGTTATCACTATTTATCATTGCATTTTCATTGGCTTTTCTTTCCAAATTTTCTATCTCTTGATCATGCACTCGCTTAAGATGCGATATAGCTAAAGTTTCAATTATAGAGAGTGCAAAGTATGCTAACATTAGATTAAAGAGTGTATTCCACGCGAGTGATATGTAACTCGGGTTACCCTAAACATATTCATATTAAAAATTATGTTTAATATATCATAAACAAAAAAAAAAAAAAGAAAACCACCGATAACGTACCGGTCCAATATCATACACATCTTTCCCTTTTTCACGTCTAAACATATCAGTTTGCCGCTGAATCATTGCTTCAAACTTATCGTGTATATAAGGAACATATCTCGTAATATTTAAAATTGTTTCAATAGTATCTTGAGAGAACAATAATATCACAATAATTGTCTATTATGTTTGGTATATAAAACAATATGAAATAAATCTGTCCTCGTATGTTTATAAACCTATTTTTATTTTCTATGAAAATTATTATATACCTGTATCGATGATTTCACCACCGCCTTACCAAGGAATGTCGCTCCAAAGAATGTTGAAAATGGAATTAAAAATTGCCCACAGATAATTCCTGCCAAATCAAATAATGGATTGGGGATCTAATATTTTTAAAAATTCCAATATAACATTATGAGTAATTTTTTTTACAAATTTTGTATATAATATTCATTGTTGTTAATAGTTCTCACCGAAGCAAACAAAAATATTCCGAAAAACCCCAATTTATGTAACAATCTGTGGGTCGTCATAAGCAATTTTTCCTTTAACGTCATTTTTTCTGGTGATTGTTCCAGCAAAGCATTGAGTTGTGCCAACTCCTCACTTCGACTTCCAGATAAAGCGGCTATCATCATGTATGCAAGACGGATGGTTAGCAACAATCATGAATAAATCCTCTCCATTTATTATACTCTAATCTAAATTACCAGCTCTCGCAACAAAGTACGGTGGCAGTTCGCCAAGCGCAGTGCCAAGTCCCCAGAAAAAAGACTCCCATTTAACTTTATTGAAAACACTCCAAAGTGAAATGGAAATAGGATTGGATTCTATTTCCATGGATTGACATCGAAATCTTTAAATTGTCATTATAATTAATAACTTTATAAAGCTTTTCAGTAAATGTTTTAACATAAAACTAACTCACCTATTAGGTCCAGAAATTTCAAATTCAAGACTCCTACATTTACTAGCCGCCCATGTTACTTCCGCAATAAAAGGCCCGAGGAACAGTACAAAAGTATGTAGACCGGTACCAAGGCCTATTGAAGACGCGATTCCCAAACTAATCCAATAACAATACCAAAATACTAAATTTTGAACACGATATATAACCTAGATTCAATGTGTAATAAAAATCTGATGTCAATATTAGATCAAAACTTGTCATCAAAAAATTCTCATTTACCTCTTTATGGGTGCCTTCAACCAATAATGTAAATTGAATTAACACTCCTAACACAGGTACTGCTGTTAAAATCCATTTTCTTGATCGCGCATATTCCGCTGCACTTTTGACCTGATAGATAACATATGCCAGGAAGTAGGTCATAACAAGGACAGGTGAAGTATACAAAGAAATTGTAGATCGCTGATTTTCTAAAGCATTACGACGCCTCCTTATGAATTCTAAAAAAAAAATAAAATATTCTGATTTATCTGAATCCATATATCACAATAAAAAAAAAAAGTTGTAAACATTCAGTAAACAAACCATCAAAGCTTTCTTTTATTACATTAGTTCTTTTTATAGCTTTTGGAGACATAAGCCTTCCATCGTCTGTGGAACCTCCTTCACTAGAATCCTCAGCATAAAGACTTGGTATGCTTTTGCTCAATCTCGGTCTTGTTCGGTGACTTCCCCGTCCCTTCTTACTCTCCACATGGTTATTAATGGAACCTGGCGATTCCGATATTTGAATAGTAGGAATCCTTCTGCAAGAATGCAAAGAATATATCATTAAATCGGATCGAACAAAAAAGAACAATTAACCGAAAGTACGGTAAATTTTAACCTACAAGGCAGCGGAAGAGAGAGTTTCAGCGTCCATGACAGCCTTTCAAATTTATTAAAAAACAATACAGACCTGTGGAATTATTTATTAAAAAAAGAAACAAAAAATGCAACCCGCGAAACGGATTAAAAAATATGTTAATTTTAATACAAAATTGAATTAATTTTACCTTTATATATTTTTGACCCGCAGTAGATCGGATCTTCGGTCCAAATTACATCAGCCAATTAACAATCGCCTAATATACATTTTTCTTCATGCGGCTAAGGTTACGGAACACGTGTAAACCCAATTCCGGAACAATCGGAAAAAACTCTACCAAACATGGTGAAATTTCTTAAAGCTTCCAATGCAACTAGCACTGTACGTAGTCAGCATGGGCGCTTCTATTTCTTTTTAGGTTTACCGTGATCAAAAACAAAGCACTTAAATAAATGTTTAGTACGTATTAATTGTTTAATATGGGTTTGTATATTAGATAAATTTTGATAAAAATTAATAATTTGTCAATTATGATTCGTTAAAACTCTGTGCTTAGCTAGTGTAACTAATAGATTATTCTTTCGAACAAATACTGTAGACGTACATATAGATGATAGTAAACCAGAAATTATTGTTAAAATTGTAAATTATGAATTACTTTTCAAGATTAAACATATTGTATTAGAAGGTTTAAGTTTACAATTGTTCTAATTTTAAAATCCTCAAACTTAACGTAAAGACCAAGTTTTAATTTTTCTGCGCAAAACCCTTTTTTTTTATAAAAACTTTTATTATATAATTGGAATTTGCTAAGTTTTAAAATCCTTAAACTTATTGTAATGACAAAGTTTTAAAATTTTTTTATGCAAAACTCTTTTTTATAGAAAATTTATTATTTAATTGGAATTTGCTATTATTATTTATAGCAATAATATTTCAAAAATTTGCTTATGAACCTACTTTTTGAGTTTTGCCAAAAAAAATTCTTTGCAAAATTGTATTATAAATGATATTTCTGTTATATTCTAAATGTTATTCTAACTTTGAGAAAAATTATTTTTTTTAAAAAAAAAGTATTTTGCTATATTGAAAATTACAAATGATTATCTGTAGTAAAAATTAGATATGTATACGTATATATATTTTTTTCAGTATTAAAGCGATTCTCTTTGGTTATTAACTTTATTAATCCTTTATGTGTTTACACATTCAGAACTACTACAAAATATAAGTACAACTAGTTACATGTGCAACTTTTTTATATTACTTATTTAAGAAGTCTGCTTGAAGGTTCTTTATTAATTGTTATATCTAATATTCTAGCTTGAATGTTCTATTTTAAATTTTCTAATTTTGTACTTATTGTACTAACTTTACCAAATAGTAAATATGTTTATTAATATATATTTATAGCTTAAATTCTTGTCTTAAATCTTAAAACTATTTTATTCTTAAAAGCAAACTTACTAAAACCTTTTATATCTTATTTTATTATGTTATAGCAAAAGGGTCTTCTTAACTTCTTACTATAACAATGATGCAATTATAAAAATATTTTACAGGTTTATAGCAATGTTTAAGAAAAAAGTATAATTCTTTTAATTGCTTAAAAACTATCTATATCTTTTTCTAAATAGTTCAAATATAATAATACAGCAGTTTACACTCTACTTTCGTTATAACGGAGTGATTAGGCTGGGAAAATCTATTCATTATAATGAATATCCGCTATAGCATTTTATAGTATAATAATAAAATTTTTAAAATGGTTTAAATAATCATTCCGTTATAATGAGGAATTCATTTTAACGGGGTCCGCTATAACGAAAGTAGAGTGTATATAGTTTTATTATTACAAAAACAATAGCTTTTGTTTGTAAAAATTATTTTAAAAAGAAAATATCAAAATATTTTATAGATAAAGATAATAAATTTATTAAAAAAATAAAACTTTCTATTAGATTTCTATTTCTAAAAAATCTTTTTACATTTTTTATAAAAGTTATTAAACTAAAAATAAAAAAAAGAATTGTTTGTAACTTGTTTATACTTAGAAAAATTATGAAGATTTATATATTTATTAACAATTATTAGAATTAAATATCAAAATTATAATAACTATTAGAATTAAGCATTAAACATCAAGCATTAAATATTAAGTAT